CAAATTTAAAAACATGAGGGACTTACCTGGGAGGCATAAGTCCCTCTTGCTCTTCAGCTCGAACTCGAGACAAATGGCTGCAACCGCCGACCCAACGTGACACACGCCCGACTCGGGCCAAGAACATTAACTAGGTAGTGAGCAGCCAGGACCCTGTTCGACCTTTTAAAACCCCATGCCCGCATGTCAGCCCAAGACATATTACCAAAGACGGCAGCCAACGCAGCAAACGTACGGACGTCATGGGCACAAGGATAGACTGTAGGCAGGCAGGACCGAATAACCCTGCATATGACCTGGGAGACCCGCACCCTGGAATAAGGAAGAAGGGAAACCAGGTTAACTCAAAGTGCGTCCCCGACCACCGAGGTCGTGGCACATAGGTAACAGTGAAGAGCCGCAACCAAAAACAACACATGATGCACCCCCGGCTGAGCCAACAAGCATCAACAACCCAAGGACCCCTCCGGAAAGTAGCAGACAAAGTAGGCCTCCGCAAACCGAGGGAAAGAAAGAAAAGAGAGCACCCGGTCCAATGACTAGGATGGCTCAGGTGGCGCATGAGCAGGCCAGAGGTGAAACAACGCATGAGACAGCTTATGGAATGGAGCAAAAGTAACATCCACCCCAAACGCAAGCTGAAGCTCCTCCACCAGCGCCACACGGTTCAAGGCAATAGTATTTGGCATACGATGATGGTCCTGAAACAACCAAGAAAGGAAAGACAAGACAACCTAATCCGAAACTGAAGAAAACCTACGGAGGGACAAGAAATAACGAAAGGACTGCCAGGAACCTTCATACTGCCGCCGAGACGAAGCACGCAGGTGGGACACCATCAACGAAGCCACTTGCTCACCATACAGATGGTGATAGACCTGCGTCAGAAAGACCAGATGCGAAGACATGAGAAGATAGAACCAGCAACGTACCGGACCGAACTGATCTGCTGAAAGAAGCGGAGCTGCGGGAAGACCCCCGGGTTCGGACACTGAGCAAGCAGTGCCCGAAACCAAGGCTGGGCCAATCACAAAAGGGCCAACAGGACTACCCTCCCTTGGTAAGTCTCTAAGCGAGCCAGGACCTGGAGAAACAGTAGAACTGGGGGGAAGAGGTACAGGTATCCCCACCTCGACCAGTCCTGCCTGAAGGCCTTGACCCTGATGGCCTCGCAGTTATGTGGCGGAAGGGTGCCACATAGTTCTGGAGACGCCTCGACCATGCTGATGCGAAGAGGTCCACCTCCGGGCGCCCGTACAACTGGCAGTGCCAACTGAATGAGTCGGTATCGACCGTCTATTCCATGGACAGGATGAACCATGACAGGCCATCCGCCAGGACATTGGACTCCCCCGAACATGAACGGCCAGGAGAGCCAAACCCTGAGAACTCGGCAGATGAGTCACCCAAAGCGACCATCCCCAAAGAGCCAAGGACCTCATTGAACCCCTGCGGTAGAATGCTTCCAACCACACGGGTTTCTATAGGCCATTGCTCCTCTTGCCTCTCTGAGAGGGCCAGGTTCTGGCTCGTGGTTCCCGGGGGAGCCGGTCGGCCGAGCGGACAGCACGCTGGACTTGTGATCCTGTGGTCCTGGGTTCGATCCCAGGCGCCGGCGAGAAACAATGGGCAGAGTTTCTTTCACCCTATGCCCCTGTTACCTAGCAGTAAAATAGGTACCTGGGTGTTAGCTGTCACGGGCTGCTTCCTGGGGGTGGAGGCCGGGTCGAGGACCGGGCCGCGGGGACACTAAAAAGCCCCGAAATCATCTCAAGGTAACCTCAAGATCTCAAGATAACCGGTAGGCCTGAGAATTCCTTTCACTCATTCATTCATTCATTCCATTCAATTCCCCCCCCCCAGAAAAGTAATTGCACCAACACCTGCACTTAGGTTTGCCAACCTTATGAATAGAGATTAAAAATTACAAATTTAAGTTCTTTGGAAAGATGAAATGTAAAGGATAACTTGACTGAAGTACATAGTTTAGATTTAATAGTTTTAGTTTAGAAGTCAAATGAGTTTAAATTTAGGAAAGACCTGGGTAAATACTAGTTTGGAAAAGGAGTGGTTAATTTATAGAACCAATTACCAGATGATAAAATATAATTTGGATTGCTGGATTGTTTCTAGTATTGGTTAGACATATTTTGTATGGATAGGTTTGAATGGATATTAATAGGAGCTTCTTTATATGGGACAATAGGCCACTTGCAGTTTCTTTTATTCTTATATTCTTAAGTCATCCTTAATAATGTCAATAAAATTATTATGAATAAAACCTTTTGAATAATTAATGTAGAGAATACAACAAATATATTTAGCATAAAATAATATTCTTCATAAAAGATAAAGATACCAAGTATTTATTTGATTGTAATGAAATGGCCTTTCAGATGGGCCCTCATTAGCTCCCCATCAAAGCCTATTAGCGAGGGAAAAATTGGCTTGGGCCTCTAAGGACCTGGGATGCCACTTGGTGGCATTCAGGCACATTGAGGTTAGTGTTTATCCTGCCACAATGATAGGTTTGCACCCAATAACCACTTACAACTTAACTTTCTTGGCGCAATTGTTTGTTTTGTTAAAATTATGATTTCTATTTTTCTCCTTAAGCCCTGGGCTGCTCTTGCAATTATAGCCTGCAACACACCCAGGCACAAGAAATACAAAAATTAAAAAAATATTTTGTCTTATAAAAATGTTCATTTGTGTTCCCTGATCACGGGAAAAAAAAAATCGTAGGCAGCATATTTTGACCGCAATAGGGCAGGGAAGTCTGGCAAAAAAGTCTCTTTGTCAGTCTCTTTGTCTTTTTTGACAAAGAGACTGACAGAGCAAGCATCGGAGAGGTCTGCTCCACCCAAGCTGTCAGGTGGGAGTTGCCACAAAGATATTATTACCTAATTATTTCAATGTCTCTGGTTGATTTTTTCTTAGTTTTTCTGGAGGGAGTCCCATTGGCTCCCTGGAGCTATCCAGGCTGATATGCTAATGTCAGACTTTGGCATCATTCATGTGTATGGAGTTCTGTGGGCCTACCTGGGGACCACGAGCAAGAACCTGGCCCCCTCACAAAGGCACGAGGAGCAATGGCCTATAGAAACCCCCATGTGGTTGGAAGCAATCTATGTCTGACACCGACCAGGTTAGGCACCCAGAAAGGTAAGCTTCCCAAAACAAACCCCTATTCTGGTGAAAATTGCTACAAAAAACCGAACAAGTGGATAGAATTCCCCAAATAGAAACGAGCAAACGAGCATGATATCACACGTCGCCGCGCTGCTGTCTGTGCAGCTTCCCCCTTCCCGGGAGGGGAGGGGAAGCTGCGCAGACAGACTTCCCCTGTCTTCCCTGCGCAGATAGACTTCCCCTTCCCCCTCCCCAGTAGAGGGTAGGGGAAGCCCCAGACCCCCGCGCCGACCATCCATACCCCAGTTCTGAGGCTGATGCTATAGGCAGCAGTCGTGTGTTCTGGCTCCAGTGGTTGCTTCAGCACTGTGCTTGTGTCTGGTGATTGTTTTCTAGGTGGTGCACAAGCCAGGAGATATTCTTCAGTACTCTGGCTGCATGAGCCTAGGGCTCCCTTCCCTAGGTGCCCTGTAAGTACTGCCCATGGGGCTTGGTGCCATATTCCACAAGTTCCTTGGGTTCTTGCCTCTGCTAGGCCGTTTACTGCTCGGTTTTCAGCCGAACTTTTTGTGCTGGGGTGTTTTGTCTCCCTTGTTTATTTAAGGGTAAGGGGCAGTTTGCACTGGTATGGGGTGCAGGGTACTGCACATCTTGTTTTCACCATTCATAGCGGCCGGCTCTGTTCCGCCTGGGTACGCTGGCCTCTTGCAGGGTTTTCTTTTTCTTTATGTTTTCCTGCCTGGTGGGGGAGCCTGCTTGGTTGCCCACTGAGTATGGTTCCTGGGTACTAATTTCTCTTCAGGTGGTACCCCTTGCTAGGTCCCTGTGAGTGCACGTCCCAGGGGGGTTCAGCTCTTAGCTATTCGTTTGGTAGATTTGGGCGACTGTTAGCAGTACCCTGCCTGGGCTTCCCTGAGCATGAGTTCTGTCTCAGGACCCTGGGAATTCCCAAGGGGGCGCGTGGGTCTGATGGATGTGACCCCAGAGTTCCCCCTCGCCTTGTGTGAGTTCGAGGGTTGCTCTGTCCCCTTATCTCAGGGTGACTCTCATTGTTTTTGCCTCCGTCACGCTGCCTGCTGGGTCGGTGACACCTTCAACCTGGAGTCCTGCGAATTTTGTTGCTTGCTGGTGACTCAGTTTACTGTCTGGTGATGATGTTTTTTGGGTACGGGCAGCGCAAGCGTTACATGTTAGGTTTAGGTTGTTGCAATGCTGGATGTCCCGAGGCTGCCCCGTTTTGCTTATAGGGATCTGGACTTGGGGGTGATGGTCGCTTCAGCCTTGGTTTCGTCCGCGCCCCCCTCGTCCTTCCCCTCCTGTGGTTCGGTCTGGTCACCTTCCCCCCCCCCTCTGCTTCCGGCTCTGAAATGTCTGATGGTTTCCGAGTCGGGGCAGGGTTTAAATAAATAAATAATAATAATAATAAATTTTTATTCATGAAAAGTACATACATTACAGTACAGTACAGGGGCCGTTCCTGGGTCCGGTGCCTTGGGCTCGGCGGCTCGTTCGTCGTCTGCCTTGTTGAAGCTGTTTGCGCCAATCCT